TAGTCCTGGCAAAATTTTATTTAAAAAATCCACGCTTATGGCTCTGATAGTCCTGGCAAAATTTTATTTAAAAAATCCACGCCTATGGCTCTGATAGTCCTGGCAAAATTTTATTTAAAAAATCCACGCCTATGGCTCTGATAGTCCTGGCAAAATTTTATTTAAAAAATCCACGCCTATGGCTCTGATAGTCCTGGCAAAATTTTATTTAAAAAATCCACGCCTATGGCTCTGATAGTCCTGGCAAAATTTTATTTAAAAAATCCACGCCTATGGCTCTGATAGTCCTGGCAAAATTTTATTTAAAAAATCCACGCCTATGGCTCTGATAGTCCTGGCAAAATTTTATTTAAAAAATGATGTGTGTTAAGTTTCGTGAAAATCGGTTCAGATTTAGATGTAGCTCCCATATATATTTTCGCCCGACTTAATGTAAATGGTGCACCAAAGTCCCTATATATCATTCGATTTGCACAAAATTTGTCACAGCGTAATGAATTAGGCCTAGTATGACGTGTTTTAAGTTTCCTGAAAATCAAGTTAGATTTAGAGATAGCTCCCATATATATTTTCGTCCGATTTAATGTAAATGGTGCACCAAAGTCCCTTTATATCTTTCGATTTGTACGAAATTTGGCAAAGCGCAATGAATTAGGTCTAGAATGATGTGTGTCAAGTTTCCTGAAAATCGGTTCAGATTTAGATATAGCTCCCATATATATTTTCGTCCGATTTAAGGCCAATGGTGCACCAACGTCCCTATATATATTTCGATTTGCACGAAATTTGGCACAGCGTAATGAATTAGGTCTAGAATGATGTGTGTTAAGTTTCGTGAAAATCGGTTCAGATTTAGATATAGCTCCCATATATATTTTCGTCCGATTTGAGGTAAATGGTGCACCAAAGTCCCTATATATCTTTCGATTTGCACTAAATTTTGCATAGCGTACTGAATTGCGTCTATAATAATGTATGCTAAGTTTCATGAAAATCGGTTCAGATTTAGATAAAGCTCCCATATATATGTATACGCCCGATTTTAGGTAAATGGTGAACCTTTTTATACCCTACACAACTATGTTGTCAGGGTATTATAGCTTTGAGCAGCCCCAAGAGTTTGTAACGCCGCGAAATATTGGTCCTAGACCCACCTTTAAGTATACCGATCGTCATATCTCGACTAGCTGAGTCGATCTAGACATGTGTGTCCGTCCGTATGTCCGTTATAATTTGTAAACACGATACAGGCCACAGTTATGGGTTCTTGGCAAAGATCGGCTAATATTTAGGGGATGAAATGGACCAAAAACTTTATTTTTGTCGGTTTTTCTGGTCGCTCCAGAGGCCGCAATTATGGCCCAAACACCGCGAATTTTTGTAAGGAGAAGGGGATTGGGCCATAGATAAGCATGTCTGTTTTGATAAAGATCGGTCAATATTTAGCGGGTCAAATGGATCTTGACTTTTGTGTTAAAAATGACAAAATTTGTATTCTATTATATTGCCGTACGTGTTCCGATGTGGGAGTTACACATAAATATTTACAGGTGCTTACGTACTGAGATATTATTTAGTAACCCATTATCACACTAGAAGGCGGAAATATAGCGCTGATCGCTTTGAAATGTTCAATGAGGATCCAGGTATGGTCAAGGACATCGGCTATAATTTTCGGTGGTGATCAGATAAAAATTTTGGGATGAAGTGGACCGAAAACTTATTTTTTTTTAGGTTTTTCTAGTCTATATATAGGCCAAAATTATAATCCGAACATCACAACACAACCCACGGTGAGGGGAATCTGGACAAGTAATTTGAAGGGCTTTACTAAATATTGGGAATATTCGGAAAATATGTCAGTGTAAGGAAGAGGTGCTGTTGATCTCTAATCGGGCAAGAGGGTGCAACTATCACGAAATATTGCTCAGGCTCAGAATAAACGTCGTCAGAAAGTTAGAGTTCCGTGGTAGTTGTGTAGGGTATCGTGTGGTCAGCCCCGTCCAACTATACTGCTCCGCTCACTGGTTTAAATTATATTTTTCAAGGACTATCACAGCCGTTGGCGAGGATTTTTTAAAATATATTTTTCAAGGACTATCACAGCCATAGGCGTAGATTTTTGAAATAAATTTAAGGACTACACAGTTTTAGGCTGGGATTTTTTATATTGTATTTTTCACGGACTACCACAGCCTTAGGCTTGTGTTTTAAATTATATTTTTTTCAAGGACTATTACAGCCATAAACGTGGATTTTTAAGTTATTTTTTTCGTACTATAAACCCATGCGTGAATTTTTTAATTATATTGTTCAAGGACTATCACAGCCATAGGCGTGGTATTTTTTAATTAATTGTTTTAACCCTTTCAGTGTCAATAAAAATTTTTGTCGGAATAAAAATCTAAAATGTTGTATTTAAAATCATATAAAGGGACATAGTTTAGAAAAAATAGCAACTGCCATTTTAACCCTCGGCATGCTTCGTCTGTCTTTCAGCAAAAATAAAAACAACAATAGTAACGGTACATAGGATAACCGAAAAATCGCAAAGAAAGAGAGTACGTTTAAATGTCGAATATATTCGACAAAAACACTGAAAGGGTTAAGGACTGTTACAACTCTAGGCGTGGATTTTTTAATTAAAATTTTAACGGACTACTACATAGTAGAATATTTTTCAAAGACTGTCATAGTCAAAGGCGAGGATTTTTTAAATAAAAATTTTCAAGGACTATCGCAGCCTTAGACCTGGATTTTTTAAATATTTTTTTAAAGGACTATCACATCCATAACCGTCAATTTTGTACATCATTTTTTAAGAATATCACAGCCATAAGCGTACATTTTTGAAATGCTGTTTTTAAGGACTACACATCCTTAGGAATGGATTTTTTAAATTGTATTTTTCAAGGACTAACACAGGCTTGGATTTTTAAATTGTATTTTTCAAGAACAAATTAATTATATATTTAAAGGTGTATTACAGTTATATAAGCGGTGATTATATAACCGATTTTTATATAATTGATATTTTATGACCTACTCTAGTTCAATATTCCATTGATTGTCTATCCACCATTCATATACATATGTATATATGCCAAAGATGCATTTTATAGTTGTAAACCCCATATTAACTTTTCAACATTTATGGCTGTGTTCGAGGCCATATTGCACACCGTCGTGCAACAAACAGTTGTTATGGTTAAAATATTTTCAACATTAATTATACAAGTGTTTTACATAAATTTTCAAGTGGTTACTGGACATCAACTACACACAACACCATTATGCAGCGATTCGCCACATCTCACATGCATGAATGACTCTGGCAGGTGGCACTGATGTTCATGAATATCATCTACTGGCTCATGGCTGAATGGCTTTAAGCCATGCAGGGCAAATAACAAACAATATGCCTGGTTTCCTGCCTGTTGCCATTCTTTAACATATTGATGTTTGGGGGAAGAAAATTCGAAATCAAATTGAAAAAGCAATTGAACTTTTTTTGGTTGATTAAAATTCAACATTTTTTTTGTTTAATTTGAAGACATTACCCGGTGATGATTTTTACAATATTTCGTGATGCCACATTGTTTTTATTTGTTCCCTTACTGACCACAATATATAATTGAGTAATCCAATTATGATAACATATTGCCCGTAATTGTATTACTCATTCAATTAATCCCAATCGTCATGGCATTTAACACTAAAATTAAATAAATATGGATTTATGTATATCGTATAGATTGACTGGATCAAATGTTAAACACTCAGTTTTAATATTCAGTGGAAATCCGAATATTAAACGGTGGTAATTAGGTTTTTTTCCATTACTAGGCATGTGATACATATAAATAATGTTAAAAAATCGAGGCATCAGCAAAGATAAAGTACAATTAATGAACTAATTGAAAATGTTATTAAAAAACATAAAAAATCCACGCCTAAGGCTCTGATAGTCCTTGCAAAATTTTATTTAAAAAATCCACGCCTATGGCTCTGATAGTCCTGGCAAAATTTTATTTAAAAAATCCACGCCTATGGCTCTGATAGTCCTGGCAAAATTTTATTTAAAAAATCCACGCCTATGGCTCTGATAGTCCTGGCAAAATTTTATTTAAAAAATCCACGCCTATGGCTCTGATAGTCCTGGCAAAATTTCATTTAAAAAATCCACGCCTATGGCTCTGATAGTCCTGGTAAAATTTTATTTAAAAAATCCACGCCTATGGCTCTGATAGTCCTGGCAAAATTTTATTTAAAAAATCCACGCCTATGGCTCTGATAGTCCTGGCAAAATTTTATTTAAAAAATCCACGCCTATGGCTCTGATAGTCCTGGCAAAATTTTATTTAAAAAATCCACGCCTATGGCTCTGATAGTCCTGGCAAAATTTTATTTAAAAAATCCACGCCTATGGCTCTGATAGTCCTGGCAAAATTTTATTTAAAAAATCCACGCCTATGGCTCTGATAGTCCTGGCAAAATTTTATTTAAAAAATCCACGCCTATGGCTCTGATAGTCCTGGCAAAATTTTATTTAAAAAATCCACGCCTATGGCTCTGATAGTCCTGGCAAAATTTTATTTAAAAAATCCACGCCTATGGCTCTGATAGTCCTGGCAAAATTTTATTTAAAAAATCCACGCCTATGGCTCTGATAGTCCTGGCAAAATTTTATTTAAAAAATCCACGCCTATGGCTCTGATAGTCCTGGCAAAATTTTATTTAAAAAATCCACGCTTATTGATCTGATAGTTCTGGCAAAATGTTATTTAAAAAATCTATGCTTATTGATCTGATAGTTCTGGCAAAATTTTATTTAAAAAATCCACGCCTATGGCTCTGATAGTCCTGGCAAAATTTTATTTAAAAAATCCACGCTTATGGTTCTGATAGCCCTTCAAAATTTTATTTAAAAAAGTCACGCTTATGGCTCTGATAGTCGTAATATAAATTAGGATTATTTCCATTACAATTGTAATACTTACGCTGTGGCACCACCAATATACATACTACCCTCGAACGGACCAAATTCCTCCTCGGGCAATAGATCAACCATTTGATAGTCGGTATTTATCATGAAACGGACATGATACTGATTATAGTCAATCCATATTTTATGCCATTCGCCGCCATTTAACTTGCGATGCGAGTTAATTACCAGCTCTCGGGTGGTTCCAGTGCTCAGGGTGAAATTGAATGTCAATTGATAGTCGCCGGTAAGGGCCACCATAAAGGAGGGATGATACGGTCGTATGGCTGGCTGGAATAATAATATTGCCTTTTCGCCTGTGGTACGGAAAGAAAAGGCAATATCGCCTTTGCGCCAGCCAGGTACTTCGATGTACGATTGGGAGGTGGTGAATGTCACCACATAACGTTGGGTATCTGTAAAGAGGAGATGGAGAAGAAGAAGAAGAGTGGTGGTGGGTATTGGATTGCCAAAAATGAGTTTGCAATAGCACAACAATGTTGTTAATCAAGTGGGCTGCCGATGGGTGTGCCATGTAACTCAATGCGCTGCCACTTACTTGTCTCCACACATTCCAACGGACCCAGTGTTATTCTGCCCTGAGCTTCATCATCTAAATCCTTTTGCTGCAGGAAGTACATGTGTGTAATGCCTAAGCTATGTGGTTCGGTGTAGTAGCCCTCATCCGAATACCATTTATTTTCTTTAACATCACAGTTGCATGATTGATTGGGATCCACACATGTTTTGTTAACAGAGCACGGACAGGCACCTCTGGAAAATAAACAAGAATTCGTTTCGAAATGAAAAACACACACACAAAACATCTAAAAGGAAAGGAAAAAATAAAGCATTGAACAGAACCGAATGGATAAGCCAATAAGAAAGCAATGAGTGGAAATGAGAAGAAATCAGGAAATTTAATTGTGTATAATTTACTTGATTAAATTGTTTAGATGGAATAATTAGAGATGAGGTATGTTGTAAAAATACCGATATTTTTGCAATATTCCCTATTTTTTTTCTCAGTGTATGCCAGGATTCAATAAGTAAAAATGTATAGTTTATAACCAATGAATATCAGCAATTGCAGAAATATATTATTGTCTTTGAGAAACAGTGGGTCGATATGATGGAATGTACGACTGAAGACGTGGTAAAGGGTAAAGGTATAGGAACTTCCGAATGCTCCTAAACACCTATAGAATATTGTAAAAAAATTACGACAATATAGTCCTGTCGAAATATTATTTGAAAAATTCACACATTGAGCAGTGCTAGACCATAAAAAATATTCTTTAAAAAATCCACGCATTGAGCGGTGCTAGACCATGAAAAATATTATTTAAACCAGTGAGCGGAGCAGTATAGTCGGACGGGGCCGACCATATGATACCCTACACAACTACCACGGAATTCTAACTTTCTGCAGTTCTATATTCAGAAACTGGACAATATTTCGTGATATTTGCACCCTCTTGATCAATTATAGGTCAACAGCTCAACTTTCTAACCCTGGCATATTTTCCATTCTTTTTCTTGAAGTGAATTTTTACGCCATAAAATAATGATCTTGTCATTTTATGCTTTGGTTGATTTGATCCTCGGAATATTGACCGATCATCATCAAAACAGCCGCTCTAAGTATTTGGTCACATCTCCTTCACCTTGTAAAACATGCGATGTTCTGCATATAATAATTGCCTCTAGAGCGACTAGAAAATCTGACAAAATTCATTGCACCCCCTGAATGAAATCTCAACTTCACCGAAAACTGTAGGCGTCGTCCTTGACCATAATCGGAATTGCCTTTACAATTTCGAAGCGATCAGCGCGATATTTCCGTCCTCTAATGGAGTAATAGTAATACTATGCTCATAGTCTCATTTACCTTATTATGTATAACTCCCATATCTGAGCACATCCGACATCATTTTAAAGGTCAACCACTCCTCTAGGATATACTATCAACTTCTCGGGTCTATGTCCATAATTGCGACCTCTGGAGCGACCAGAAAAATCGACAAAAATTAAGTATTTTTTCCATTTCATCCCCTAAATATTAACCGATCTTTACCAAAAACAATATGGGACGTCATTGGCCAGAACCCATCCTACATGCAAAATTTCGTGAAGATTGGTCCATAACTGTGGCCTGTATCGTGTTTACAATTTATAATGGACAGACGGACGGACGGACACACATGTTTAGATCGATTCAGCTAGTCGAGATATGACGATCGGTATACTTAAAGGTAGGTCTAGGACCAATATTTAGCGGCGTTACAAACTCTTGGGGCTGCACAAAGCTATAATACCCTGACAACATAGACAACATAGTGAGCTATATCTAAATCTGAACCGATTTTCAGGAAACTCTGCCCATAACATTCTTGACTTAATTCAGTACGCTGTGCCAAATTTCGTGCAAATCGAAAGCTATTTAGGGACTTTGGTGCAGCATTTACCTTAAATCGGACGATGATATATACGGGAGCTATGTTTAAATCTGACCCGATTTTTCTCAATTTCAATAGGGTTCGTCCTTGTGCCAAATGAATGAGCTGTGCTAAATTTCATCCAATTCGGATCATAAATGCGACCTGTACTTTGTTTACAATTTAACATAGACAGACAGACAGACTGATAGACGGACGGACCGACATGCATAAATCGACTCAGAAAGTGCATATTCTCAAAAGGAACCATGGGTCTATCTCGATTATTTTTACCTGTTACAAAGGTAGGTCTAGGACCAATTTTTAGCGGCGTTACAAACTCTTGGGGCTGCACAAAGCTATAATACCCTGACAACATAGACAACATAGTGAGCTGTATCTAAATCTGAACCGATTTTCAGGAAACTCTGCCCATAACATTCTTGACTTAATTCAGTACGCTGTGCCAAATTTCGTGCAAATCGAAAGCTATTTAGGGACTTTGGTGCAGCATTTACCTTAAATCGGACGATGATATATACGGGAGCTATGTTTAAATCTGAACCGATTTTTCTCAATTTCAATAGGGTTCGTCCTTGTGCCAAATGAATGAGCTGTGCCAAATTTCATCCAATTCGGATCATAAATGCGACCTGTACTTTGTTTACAATTTAACATAGACAGACAGACTGATAGACGGACGGACCGACATGCATAAATCGACTCAGAAAGTGCATATTCTCAAAAGGAACCATGGGTCTATCTCGATTTTTTTTACCTGTTACAAACATATGCACAAAGACATAATACCCTGTACCACAGTGTGGTGAAGGGTAAAAAAAATCTACGCCTTTAGCGGTGCTAGACCATGAACAATATTATGTTATGATTGTTCCTTCTCCTTTAAAAATCTACGCTTATAGCGTAGACGTCCGAATATATTATTTACAAAGCTGTAATATTCCTCTCCGTACCCACTGTCCACGCAGTAGTGACACAGCCAATGATGTATGGATTTAAATGTGAGTCATGCTTTATGGACTACACCAATGCCGGACACCCAGAGAGCACTTGCCATCGAACACACTACAAATGTAGTGCTTAGAGTTCAGTGTCCAATAGAAAACCATTCAGAGAGTATGTGGTCATAAAAAGGCCGTTAAGGGTCATTTGGAGCTGAATTTAATACGAATGTGTGTTTGTAGTCTGTTGTTGTAGTTGTTGTGTTTTTTTTCGGCGTTATAGCAGAACAAACTTTACGATTTATGAGTTTGTAACGATTTGTATTTGTAGTTGGCCAAAACAAGAACAACAACAACAACGATTGCTATTTGGGGAGAAAATAGACAAAACAGAAGGGAACTCAACTTTCAATGTTTTTTTATTGTTGTAGTTGTTGTGCAATCCTGTTTTTTTTTTGCAATATCTACTGAGATTGATAGAAAATGATGCCACTAGCCAGGCGAGAAAAGACAGAGGTTGAAGGTGGCATCGAGCACAAAACATGGTAAATGGAAATAATACACAGAACAAAAAAAATCTCTGAAAAGTATTGATTGATGCAAAAAAAAAAAAAAAGAATCGTTCAACCAAAATAAAAAATATAAACAGAGGAGAATGGAAGACACGAGTAGCATTTTTAAATGTTTATACAAAGATGAGATGGAGATTTAAGAAGAAAATAACAAATAGTCGAAGCTGCAGGAAATTGGAAAAAATGAAGAATGTTCCTGATTGCATTCTCTCCTCTCACTTACATCCATTTGTACTAAGACTGAACATGTTTAAGTTACATATTCTGCATGAGAGTGCTGTTTATTAGAACGAAATTATGTTGCTTAAACCGAATGAAGTATACACTGAAGGTAATAGATGCAGGTTTTTTTGTTATGGAAAATAAAGCACTTGATAAGGATTCATTCTTCGAAATATTTTTGAATGACTAAAGATATGTGGATTTGCTTTAATACTTTAATTTCACAAATAGCTTTTAGGACTTACAATAAGCGTAGATTATTAACCAGTGAACGGAGCAATATAGTCGGACGGGACCGACCATATGATATCCTGCACAGCCAGTACGGAATACTAACATTCTGTGGATTTATATTCCGTGCCTGGGCAAACATTCGCGCTATTTGTAGCCCCTTGATTTATTAGAGAAAAACAGCTACACTCAACCTGGTATATTTTTGAAATATTTTTCCATAAGATGCAAATTTTGCCATTTTGCACAGAAACTTTTCTGTTCAAAATGGCTTGGTTGCTTCGAAAAATACACCAAAATTAAGTTTTTGGTCAATTTCATCCCCTAAATATTATCTGATCCAAAAATTATGAGCGTCGTCCTTGACCATAACCGAAATTTCGTGTAAAATTTCAAATCGATCAGCGGGAAATAAATATATGCCCTATAGTGTGGTAATGGTAGTCAGAATAGGTAGATCTATGTAAATATTTGCGCATAACTCCCACATCCCACAAGTCTTTAAAAATATATTAAAATATTTTTAAAGGGTTTAAATATGAGTCGATTTTTAAAAAATATATACTTTTAGGATTTCAATATGCAATAGATTCTTTTATGTTTTATGTAGGACCCTCATGAGACCTAGATTTTTAAATAGGGGCGTTTAGCGAACTCAGGGATTTAAAAAATATATAAATTTGTTAAAGTCTCTACATAAATACTTTTCCTTAAATACTTTTTCAAGAACTCCATTTATGCGCATAATTTAGAAAAAAAATTAAGGTTTGTACGATAACGTGTAGTTTTTACACCCTTCACCACACTGCGGTACAGGGTATTGTCTTTGTGCATATGTTTGTAACTGGCAAAAGGACACGAGATAGACACATGGTTCCATTTGAGAATATGTATAGAATCACTTTCTATGTCGATTTATGCATGTCCGTCCGTCCACCTGTTTGTCCATGTTAAATTGTAAATAAAGTACAGGCCGCATTTATGATCCGAATTGGATGAAATTTGGCACAGGTCACTTATTTGGCCCAAGGACGAACTCTATTGAAATTGGGAGAAATCGGTTCAGATTTAGATATAGCTCCCATATATATTCGTCCGATTTAGGTAAATGGTACACCACATTTTGATTTGCACGAAATTTGGCACAGCGAAATGAATTAAGTATAGAATGATGTGTGTTAAGTTTCCGGAAAATCGGTTCAGATTTAGATACAGCTCCCATATATATTATGTATTTAAGGTGGTGCACCAAAGACCCTATATATCTCTCGATTTGCACAAAATTTGGCACAGCGTAATGAATTAGGTATAGAATGATGTATGTTAAGTTTCCGGAAAATCGATTCAAA